CCTCTACTATCGCGCCTTTGATCATCTCGCTCCGATTTACAAAATGAAAGCCTAGAGCACGCTGTTGAAAACACCTGCACAAGTCTACGCGTGTTGTGAAAGCCCTATAACAAGGTCAGAGTGTTAACGCTCTCCAGGCACCTAGAAGGGAATGCCTTTGAACACTTGAACCCTTTGAGTGTTGAAGCACTCTTGATAAGATCACCTTCAGCTTGTGGTTTCTTTTTCTTAGCTACTATCTTCCCACAAGCATTACTTATGCTTCTCTTCCTTGGGAATTAAAATTGTATTCAATTGCCATGTTCGAGTTGTGAATGCACACGAAATGCGTAAAAGTTGCTCGAGGCGTAGCCGAAGGCAACTCTTATCGTGCACACTTATCTCTTGCTCTCCAAACTTTCAGTGTGCACGCTAACTCGATATAGGAACTCTAAGAATCAACCAATTCTTAGGTTTTGGTATCGTTTTAAATTAGAAAAACCATCTAAAAGAATAGATGACAGCAGTCATTTATTGCAAATTTTAACGTTACGTGAGTAACAATCAAACAGTTTCAGTTTCTGCGGTTTTTTCCCGCGAGTGTATATACTCGCGTGCTATTGGTTCATTCAAATTAATATTCCAGACATATTTTAGGTATTCACGGTTTAATGAGTCACACACACAGCAATCCTGGATGATCATTCCCCATCACACTCTTATTTCTCCTAGACATCATAAAGATGGCTTGACATTTACATTCCCTGGTGAGGCGTTATCTCTCTTAGACTCAGAGATATAATGTCCAGAATGTTGTGCTTATCAAAGGTTATGCATAGAACATGGCAAAGAACGACACCAGGTTATCTTATTTGCTGTGGTGCAATATGTGCCTTATACCGGCTAAAAATCAATGAGAGCTTTATTTCAATATTCTGGTGTCACCTGGCATGCTGTTGGACAGAATTATTTGAAATATATAAAGCAATTTTCAAGTAAGTCTTGAAAGTAAGGATTGCTCTAATTTCATTCGTGTTTTTCCAAACTTCAAGCAGTTTGCTTGTTTTCACTTTGAGTTCCCATTGGCTGATGATGACGTAAGCCTTTATTCTTATTGCTTGCCGGGATTACTATGGTTTTGTTTTTTTCCACATGCAATTGAAAACTGCTCTTTGAAATCCGCTATATGACTGAATAATTTCTGCAGCAAAGAAGACCATTGACATGGCGCCTATATTTCTATTTAGTCATCATGAAAACTGAAACTAAGGTAAGGGGGAAGAACGTGAACTTGATCTTGAAACATAGTTAACATTATTTAATGTATTTTCATATCTGAAGTGTCGAAGAGAATATAAACTGATCTCTTGTAGTGTCTTAATCCCTAGCCCATGCAGTCCTCAGCTGGTCGAAGGCTCAATCATTAGAAAAGAATATCCTAGGCCGTGCTGGTCCTGTTGTCAACTTGGGAAAACGGACTTTCCTGTTAACACACTGAGGGACGAGTATAACTCTAGCCCTCACTCCTTTAAGTGAGGAGACGGGCCATGCTATGCTACACTCCAACAACAATATTTGGGTTCTAGGGTCATTATTTCAAGCCGAACGCAGCAGAACAAGTCGCCAAAGTAGTTGGTTAAGGCAAGGTGCTGTAGTATACGTCACTGACATATACACTGAGATGCATTTTGCCGGGAGAACTTCGCCGATTTGCCAGCGCAGTTACTGGAGGACCTCCTCTATATGGACCCCCTTTGGGAAATCATCGAGGATTATTTACTACTAAATTTTTAAGCTTCGTTATTGTGTTTTCTTATCGCATGCAAAGTAGATATTTTTGCAGTTTTGAAGTTGTTGGATACCAAGTATCATCGAGTTCATGGATTATTGCAGGGTTTTCACCCTCGCAGTGCAGTTGTAAAATAGTACACTATTGATTCTTCAAGGGAGATTGAACTGAAAATGTGAGAGCTAAAATATGCATTCCTAAGGGTTCTTGATTGCAAGTTTTTCTTGCAAGCATGTAGATTTCAAATTTGAGTTTAGCTGCAGCAGTGATTTTAACTTCAGAATCAGTAATACGTGATGATTAACAAGCTATGTGATAAATAAGTTGGCATTTGATCTTTCAAGAAATTTACACATTTACATAATCTGGTTGTGCTATTGAAATCATATCCTAATCGCTTGTAAAAAGTATCATATCATAGAATTAGACATGAATATTCAGATGCTCATTTTCTTTTAATCGGAAGAAATCGAAGAAAACAATAACAAGCGTCTGTGCTGTCAAGTTCTTTTTTGAAGTTGTGAAAATGAAACCCAGATGGGTTTTATCTAAGTCCCTTCAAAACGGTTCTGAAAAGGGCACTGCAGTCATTTGTTATTCAGGTCAGGGTGGAGAATAGTGGAGTCGGATAGAAAACATAAAAAATGTGCTTCACAGTTTACGCAAAGATCTATTTTTAGGATCGGTTCAGTCAACACAAACTACGTCCTCGGAACGAGTATTATAACTATAATAGTCTCATTCTTCGATGATCATGTAGTTTGTTGTAAGAAATAGAACGTTTCCTAAAACATCGTGATGTAGTTCCTTCAGACGGTTAGCTTGACAGAAGCCCCGTGAAATAAATATTCCCAACGACTATCCAGCACTGCTTACTTATTGATGCCTTTAAAAGGAGTCGGTGAAGTAGAAAGGTACGAAATTAGCATTTATAAACAATAGAGAATCATTTTCGGTCAGTGGCGCTAACCGAGACGGTGCTAAGTTCTTTCGTTGACCGAGAGATATAGGAGAAAGCACACCATCCAAGCAATGGCACTGGTAAAAACCTCGATGCGGGGTGATCAACAAGGTCTTGTAAGTAATGTCACACATGAGCAATCTACTCGTGCTTGCACGATCCTTTGAGATCTCTAAGCAGTCGAAAATAACCTTTAAGAATAATAATGACAATGATGATTATCATAACAGCCCAGTAGTGCTCATCGTATGACTCGGTTTGTTGATGTTATGCTTACTATCCTGAAAGCGTATCTCATATTCATGAAAAGGCAACAACACTCTTTGAGCAGTCAGAGCTCTGACATTCAAGCCAGAGGGCTCTGTATCTGCGCTACTCCATAAATCTGTTGACTTTTTTGGACTTACATCAAATTTCGATATGTCAAGGGGAGTGGTAAGGATGAAGGAGGAATGTTTCTACGAATTTAGTAACGGGCACTTAGCGCCAGTTGATGTGTGGGAAAGGTCTAGTGAATCAGCATATGTGAATGGATCGAAAATTTCTTGATACAGAGCGCAAATGTTTTGGCATTCTTACAGGCTGGTTATTGCGTATTGAAGATCTTTTAAAAGTTTTGAACTGCGTAAGTCTCCTAGGATCACATTTAATTGATTGCGAATGTGTGGAACAAGTAAATTTAATTTCTAACTTGGGTTAATCAGCCTTTCCAACAAATAAGGTAGAGCAAGGATAATCGTCGTCAACACAAACGAAAACGATGTGTTAGCAGTTTCAACCGATGCAATTTGTCATGCAAATTTTAAACAAGAACTAACTGCATAATAAAGAAGTTTCACTTCATTATCAATCCTGTAATAATGCTATGGAATGCGTCTCAATCCAAGTTAAAACTTTGTTAGTGAACAGTTGTGGTGTTTGTGTGATTGACAAAACTCTTACAAGAAGTGATGTTATATATTATTTGAGTTCTCATGAATAATTAGAGTTTAGTACATGCACCTAAAACAATTGTTTACGTTCGGCTTATTAACCCTATTGTACACAGTGATTAGAGAGTAATTACAAAGATCGGCAACAGTCACACTCTAATCCACTCCAGGGACAACATCGTAACCAGAAATAAGGGACAGTCAAAGATTGAATGATCATTTACAGCAGTTTTGGACACATTTTTCTAAAACCAGATATGATCTACGTTCAAAAAAGTAATTCTAACATTACCACAAAAAGTAATAATCTAAGGTTCATTAAACTCTTCACTTACACCAATATCGACCGATGTTCTAGTATTAGTATGTTATTTTCGTCAAGCTTAATGAATATTTAGGAAAACATCCCACATAATACTTAAAAATCAATACATAATATGTATATGTCTTTTCATGCCTTTATTTTCTTTACTGTGACAACTGTGCTTAGATCTTAAAGAGCACACTCAGAGATGACCCAGAGATGTATCTAGTGAACCTTATTAAGTTTGATTGGTATTATGTGATTGAAGCTATTACAGTGAAGTGTTTGTAGACAGCTGCACTAAATAAATTTATGGAATCTATTTTTTGAAAAGGATTTACCTTCTAATTGATGAAAGTTTTGAGGAGTTATGTTAGAAAGTGAAGAGTTACGTCAGAAAGTGAGAATAATTATCGTTCGCTTTCGTTAGCGTGTGAGATACTTTGGAGGCGAAGCCTTGACGGCAACGAGAACCTCTTGGCTCTACTGGTCAAAAAAGAACTCACTCACGCAAATCCGCGCATACCACTGTTGAACCAGAATTTTTCCCACTGCGAGTTAGAGCTATCAGATTCGGTGCGTCAATCAATAATGAGTATTCAGAGTCTGGGTAAATAATTTAAGGTGGCGTACATCTAAGTTCAATCGTTTCACACAACATCATATTCATCGAAAATGAAAAAAGGGAAACACTACAAAAGAGCAGAATTTGGAACTGCTTGCATGCTCCATCCTGTGAATGTAACCCTTGCAAAATAATTCTTATTTTAGTCACATATTGGTTTCTGATCGCAGTGAATTTGCCACCAGCTGAAATTCCTGCGGTGAAGGAATTACATTACGGCTCTTCAAATATTTTTCACAGAATTCATATTTGGTTAATGATAACCAGTTTCCTTAAGCACAACCGGTTTTAACGTGTTTAATGACACGAAATCTATTCCACGAGAAGCCGAGTCCAGGAATAAAGAAGGAGACCATTATCCTTTGCACGCCCCATTGCTGTTTTGATAACGTCACTCTAGATTAAATAATCAACCGAAAACTGCCTCCGGCAGGCGTTCCACACGTTAGTCTGTTCAACGGAACCAACCAACCGGTATTGATTAAACCCATTTTCGAAGGATATTCCAAGTTCTTTGTACACATGATTGACGGACCCGGCTTTGTGAAAAACACAATACAACTACACACTGGATTATTGATTGAAAAGCTGACATGAGGAATTCTCAAGAGAGGAAAGAGGTATCTTAGAATGAGTTAACTTCTCTAATTGATCATTATGGCAGATTTAATACAAGCATGTACCTTGCGCTCACAGTCTTTGATGTTTAGTTCTTAAATGAAAGCAGCCATTGAAAACAGATGCAAATCGCGAACTGACCTCCGTGTGCTAAGCCTACGTGTAACGCAATGAAAATTGCCTCGAAAAGGCCTTGTGACCAAACAGTCGGTAGAAGGAATAGAGGTGTGCCTGAAAGGACTTACAACCATGACCCTTAGACAGGAATAGACCAGAAAAGGAGGAAAACACCGTGCATGTTAAGACTTAAGGGTCTCATCGTTGTTGTCTGACTACTGTCAAATGGGCAAAAAACTAATCGTCAACTGTAAATATAGCAGGTTATCAGGTCTTATCAGGGTCAAAATTACTGTGCAAACCTTATTTCAGTTTTAAAACTATCTTATTATTTATAACGTTTTTCAAAACCTGTCTTTCTTCTCTGCAATTATTTTCAAATAGTAGCCGTTGCTGCATGCTTACATACGAATAAACTTTACCTCGACATTTCCTGCTACAAATAAAGTCTTGCTGCGCTTTTGTTGTGGTGAATGAAGCACACGCGATTTCGGACTTTTGAATTGTAAAATTTAATTTGTGAGCACGATTGCTTATCTAGAAATCGAATGTCAAACTGAATGAAATAGATTTCTTGATAAAGCTTTTCATACGATTAAGATAAGCAATTGTGCGCACACATTAAACATAATAACGTACCTGTCAATAAAGCTTGCTAAAGGTGACTGTCAAAACTCTTCGGTACTCCCTATTTAGAATGAAAATCGTGTCAAGCTATACTGTGTTCAAACAATCAGCTATAAGAATAACTTAATACACAGATGTACTTTTCCTTCTATTCCTTCTATTTCTATATATGCCGGTAGTTAGCGAGAGGTCTGCTAGGGGTGTAGCCGGCAAGGATGCTATTGTTTTCCGATTCCGGCTCATGGAGAGGTGTCAATCATGATATTTCGGCATCTTGATCGTTAAAAGTGTCAAATTATTCGCCAATATCGTTTTAGAAAAGTATAAATAGTCACGTCAACAACGTTTCGTTCCAAGGGTAATGGATACAAATCATGCGATCACGCCGACAAAAAGTTGCGAAAAAGTCCTGCTAATGTTGTATTGTGCTATTGTGCAAGTGCTCTTTCAAATTGAAATGTGACACTAATGGGTAACGCTGTGTATCGCGGGAAAAATTAGTTGATTGTTCAAATCACGATGGAAGTCATAAATAAGTGATGCTGTTAAAATGCTAAGACAGTCCATCAGCGCGCGATCAGGCTCTCATTATTATCGCTTCTGGAGATCCTAGAGCACAGCGAACCTGTTACCCTTTCAGGTCTCGACAGTTTGCGATTCGTCCATCACGATTAACTCCAGTGCCTCGTGCAATTTCGAACCTGTGTTCTTTAGATTTCTCTTAGCTTGCAGAGCAGGCGCAAATTTGGCGAGCGACTGCTCAATATTTTCCTGGTGAAAATTGTGACCGCCACCTTTTATTTTAATGCTAGCGGAAAGTTGAGGAGAGAAAGAAATTTGTACCAAGGAGGTGAGCGACGGTCAAAAATTATGAAAGGGGTGGGGGTGAGAAGTGATTATTTCGCCTTTCCCAGCTTCCATCCCCCCACCGCTGCCTCTATCTCTGAATCAAACATGGCCGGTTGAATAAGCGATAGCGAGCTTCTTAACGTTAACTTGCTCTAATAAGACGGCTGCATTACAGGCTAGATTTCACTGGAAATCGCTCTCTATACTTTTTCGGCTGATACAAAAATCACTTGCGTGATTTTCCTTCCCTTAATTGATCCTCAATTAGTATAGGTAATCACTTGATTTCGAGTGCAATTTGGAATAAATGAGCACGAGTAAATTTTTTCAAAGACCAACAAAATTGCACGAGCTAGTGTTTTATTCCAAAGTGCACGAGAAAAATCCTGTGATTACGTATTAATAATATCCATGGAAAAATACGAGATGGCTTATCATAATTATGCAGAGGCAAAGCGCGCGCATCAAAGTGAAAAAATAGTTTGTTCAAACCCTGCGTACGATCAAAACAATAATATAATATGATATTTTCGCATCTTTAGGGCTCAAAAAAGTTCTAAGTCCGGCTAAACAGTTCAGGAATTGTTCAGTCTGGTTTGTTACTTCTTCTACATTGAATTTCCTGAAACCTGCATTCATCTTAACCAATCAGACTGCACTGAATTACATGAAAACTGCATTTATCTAAACCAATCAGAACTGAGTAATTTTTTCATGTTTAATATTAACGGGCAAATTGCAAAAAATTTTAATTTCAACAAGCGTCCATATTTTAAGTCTGTTCTAGGCGTCCAGTTAGTTTAAGTAAGTGCGACAATAAACAACGTGAGAGCAGCGGAGGAATAAAAAAAATAAAAAAACCACATCGTCGCTACTGTCGCGCCGTTTAATATTTCGCTTCGTTTAACTGAACGTCCGGAACAAGCTACCATACTACTTTGACAGATAAATGTCTGTTGTTGTTGTTTTAACTAAAAGCTCAAGCGGTTATACAAGATAAAGCCGGCCAAGAAAATATAGACATTCTCATGAGCTGGCAAATTCATTTGCCTTTGTGGTTTCTTTATCTCATTTGTTGAACCCATTTAGTTTTTCAGTCATGCCATCTGCTTCCCTCCCAGGGATCTGTTTTAGCGTGATATTTTAATATGTGACTGTAGCAGCCACGGTAGTGTTACAGACTATGAATGAGTTTCAATAGCACATTTTGTTTTGGTGTCGCATCATTGTCGACGTTTCAGATTTTCAGTAGCACGGGAAGAGGTTGTGACGAATGAAGAGGTTGTGACGAATGAAGAGGTTGTGACGAATGAAGAGGTTGTGACGAATGAAGGAAATAGAAAATTTAGTTAAAAGAAGTATTCAAAACGTTTCTATACCATCGTCCGATTTCTTTCTGGCGAATTGTGGTTTTCTTTCCCTTATCAATGCATGATATGCTTTCAACTCTTTTCAACCAATTTAATACTGGAGAAAAGCTCAGTTGTGCTGTTATTATTACTTGTCTTCAGCGAGATGTACAATCTGCGCAAGTGTCTGAACATTTGTTGATAGCGACACAGCCGCGAACTGGGAAGAATACAAGACGGTTCACGAAACGTGAAAAACTCCTAGTTGGCGTAATAGTCTTCCTTGTTTCCTTATTTGTTCTTATGGCAATGGTCTTTGGATTTCTGTACGCAAAGAAGGCTCGCTCAAACTCGCAGATTAAAGAGAAAAACACTGCATCCTACCCATGCGTAACAAGAGATTGTGTTTTCACATCTTCAGGTAACTTTGCAAAGTTTTCTTCATAACCGAAAAAGAATCCATTCAACTACTCGTGCATCGCACTAAAAAATAAGCACAGACTGCCTTCATTTGTGATTGTTGCCCAGTGGAAAGTTGTAAAATAAACGCGACCGCCCCTTATCTCCTATAACCTTCATGATATCTGAATCATGATTATTCTGCAAGAAGACCAAAGATCTTACTTTCCCCGTTATATTGTCTTGCAGACTTGTTTAGTTTCTTAGATCCCAATGTCAATCCTTGTGAGGACTTTTATAAATACGCATGTGGTGGATGGATAAAGAAAAATCCGCTTCCTAATCAGAAGGAAGAATGGAATCAATTTACCAAACTGGAGGAGGAAAGTAATCAGTTTGTCAGAGAGATTCTACATAGTAAAGAGAAGCAAGCTGAATATTCTAGGGTAAGTTCGTAACAGACACTTGCTGTTCCCAAAATTTCAGTCTTGATATTTATGTATGGAGATGACTAGTCCTTACTAGCGTGCCAATTTTTGTATTTAATTTCCTTCAAGCTTTCGTCCTTCAAGAAAGGGATAGCTTACTATAAGTCGTGTTTGGATACAAAGGCAATTAACAAAAGAGGAACCAAGCCTTTGGAGGATTTGTTAAAGGAATATGGATCTTGGACTTTGACTACAGACGACTGGAAGGAAGAATCTTGGGACATGACAAAATATCTTGCGTTAATGAGAAGAAAACTGTCTTTAGGACCCCTGTTTACCGTGTTTGTAGGTGCTGATCCACGGAACAGTAGCGTCAATATCATCCAAGTAAGCTCAGTTCAAACGAAAGTTAAATCTAGTAGCATTTTGAGTTTTGACTTGGTCATGATCTAAATTAAGTTTCTCCCTTAACGTACCTATGAGAAAGGGACTGTTACCGGCCACAAGCGTCGGTAATTACGCGCGTTAAGGTCTTTGATTTTGAAGATTCCATTGGAAAAGGGAGTGTATACGTCATTCAGTCAACTCCGTCAAATACCAACTGGGGCCGGAGGTAAAAGTGGGCGTAGCAATCATATACTTACGTGTAAACGAGTGTACCTCCAGAAATTAGAAACATGTAATTTTAACTCTTGAGTTCAGCTTATGTTTACTGGTTATGTACATGTAATATTGGGAAATAAGTGGCTTCCAGAATTCGATCGGCATGTTTGGCGAAGTAACCATCATTGCGCTGCCTACGATATGTAATTAGAATAAGACATCAAAAACGCTACACGGCGTAATGCTAAAGTTTAAAACCCATTTCTACTGTAGTTTTACGATACGCCCTAGGTTCTAGATGGAGTCAGTCCCGTGTTCATCTTGATAGTGACGTGTGTTTGTGCTCCTTGAGGTTTCCCTTAATAGAGGTTCCACGGAAGTGTTACTGTACAGTGAACGGGATGCAAGTTCATAGTGTTTGTTTCATCAAGGATAGCTTGTTGTACTGTCTCAAGTTGCCCTCTCGTTGAATTGAATCTGCAAACCCTCCGCTCCTTACTATCCAATATCTTACTACTTGTTATTACCTTTCTGACTTCTTTTTCTTTTTTCGATTCTTTCCCAAAACGATTATTTTTATTCTCACATCACTTTTGTTTCTAGATAAGACCGTTAGCCCTTTTGGGTCTTTCACGAGGCCGTTTAACTTCTAATACCACCTATGGAATTAAGGTATGTTTATTTTGATTGAAAGTGATTAAAAGAAAAAATGGAAACCCATGTCGCAAAAGTATCCTTCTTTTCTTTCACAGTTTATCTCGTATTTCTAAGGGAAATAGCAGAGAAATACCGCCCAGCTAGAGTACAGATAGTGATATAAATTTCAGACGAAATTCTTGGCAATTTTGAACTCGCCTATAATTTTCCCAACATGTTAAATTATCACGGCATTTATCGACTTTTTTTGATCAGAAAATTGTGTTTCTAGACCAGTCAGGTCATCTACATGTAGTTGTACAAAACTACCTAAATATAGGTACATGTTTTGACCCATCTCTAGTAAAAGAGTTGCGAATAGTTTTCCAAAGTGTAACCGTCCATCGACACCAACAAGAGGTTTTATTTCCCAAATTTGTTTTCATGTCAAGCTAGCAAATAGAACGGCATCAAAGCATGCTCGAAAGCTGCTTTCACTGTCTGATTTTAAATATCAATGATATTTGAACAGTAGAAATTGTCACATTGTTTCGCTAACGATTTTTGCGTTCTTTCTAAGGGACGAAAGGTTTATAAGGAATTTATTTTGAATCTAACTAAAGCACTTGGAGCAAAAAATGATTCACTCCCAGACATCCTGAATATCATCGATTTTGAGATCAAACTTGCTAAGGTTTGTTTCATTGCATCATTGAGTAATATTAATTGTATTTATATGTTTCTTTCGCCATCGTTTCTGTCGTCTTAGAAATCTTTGTATTAATTATCATCATTATGCACAGATCATGCCAAGTGCCCCTAAAGCGTATGATGACGAAAATATGTACAAGAAACTGACTGTTAAAGAGCTGGACCAATATGCTGGTAGCAACAGGGTATGTAGTTTGTATATACTGAATAGAAAGCTTTACATTACCAACGTAAAGCTTCTCAAAGTTTAAGTCACGTTCTTTTGATTGGCAGATTTACTGTCATCACAATTCATTGTTGCGGGGGTGAGGGGGGGGGGGGAATCACCTATGAAGACCAGACGAAAATGTCCAGAAAGACATAAATCCTGGAAGGTTTTTATTGCCCATTAAGCAGTAAATAAATTAACCATATATTTTGTTGCTGTTTTTATAGATGAAATGGAAAGTATTCCTCGAGCAGCTTTTGTTGCCTGTCACTGGCAAACATGTCTCTGATGAAGAACTTGTTATAGTTTACGGAGTAGACTTCTTAAAAAACATAACTAACCTTCTCGATGACACACCAAACAGGTGAACGCATAACATGATGTAATGGTTGGCAAGGCAGGCAAGGAAAGGCTTTAATCGATCAGTGTTTACCCTGTACAATTATTGGGCCTGCTACCTGTATAACTTGAATCACGATGATCACTTGATTGATTTTATTTCACCACTTTAGAGTTTATTTTTAAATTCTAAACAAAATTGTGTTTTGCCCGTCACTTTACTTAGCGTCTAACCCATACAGTTTTGTCATCAATCAAATGCCTTTAATGGTTTGTGGAAAATACTACAAGCCCGTGTTGTGGTTTGCCCTAAAAGCAGTTGTAAGTACTGATTTAATGAACACCTACTGAACTCAGAAAATCTTTCAAAGCCCTTACCTCCGCGTGTAAGTTAAAAATAGTTGATTACGATGACGATCTGCTGTAATCTGCCATGTCGGGTATAACCAGGCGCGATTTGGTAAAGATTTGATGTGTTGACTTGCTCTTCTCTTTACTTCCTTTAAAGAACCATTGCTAACTATATGATGTGGCGATTGGTAGACTCCGTATACTTACGCCTGGGAGACGAATTTGAAAAGATTTTGGAGAACTTTTTCATAACTTTAGAGGGCTACTGGATACCTATCTCGCGAGATGAGTTGTGCGTTCAACTGATGAGAGAAAAATACTTTGCTGCACCTCTCTCCAGAATATATGTGGACAGTCTCTTCAATGGGAACAGCAAGAAAATTGTAAAGAAAAATACTGCAATTTTTGGGGGAGCAGTCAATCTTTTCTTAGTGGGGGCGTTCTTGAAAAGGAGTGTGTATGCTGCAAGTGACTGCAAGCGCAGTAAAATTTTACATGATTTTAATTTGCTCGTAGACCAACTAATTTTGGACTATCTTCCGCCTCGAAACAGTGCTACACGATAAGTCGTATGGTCAGGACTAGTCTAGACTATCGTTGTGCCTTCCTGGACACGAGGTGAACTCCATTTAGCTTTGTAACTTGATGTATCCTATAAATCTATTTCAGGCAAAAGAGCTGGCGGATGATATCAAGGAAGCGTTCGAACAGAACATATTGGAACTTGATTGGATGGACGAAAAAACAAAATCTCTCGCTATACAGAAGGTAACCACAGATAATTATTTCAGCTTCATGTGAAATACAATTTGCGAGGGTTCTTTTAAACAATATCGCTTATTTCTCAAAACATGGCCGACGTATGGAGAAGGAACAATTAAATTGTCAAGACATATGACCCGTTAAGATATCTGGGCAACTTTGAAAAAGTCGATTACAAACATTGCGAAGGGAGAGAGAGACAATATAAGAGTGAGCATCTCCCCAGGCATCACAATTCAACAAAATGACAACAGCCAACACTTCTTAGTCCGACCGTTTGCAGTCAGTTTACCCTAAGATAATCGCACCTTCCGCGAGAAAAGACGATAAGTTAGCGATTGAAGAATAAATCCAGTAACTTCGAAAAGAATAACTTCCATTTTAAAATTGTTATAACTTATGACCCTGCACTATTTCGATTCTCATTTATCATATGTCTGTTTTGACTTGGCAGGCGAAAATGATGGTGGAGAACATTGGCTTTCCAGATTACATTGTGGATGACAAGCTTTTAGATGAGGAGTACAAGGATGTAATTAAAATAAATTATTAGATTATTATAGCTCAGAGAGTCATTATTTACTGGGAAGTACCTATTTCGAGTTATTATTCAATTAGCATTCTCTTATAACAGTAGCTATGTATTGAAGAAACTGCTCACCAACTTCCTAAAAGTAGGGACAGAGTAGTAGCGTTGTACAACGGATAACATGAGTGTTTTTTATATGAGCCTTTAGCATGGGAGACAAAATGACCAATCCTTACGTTTTCGACGTTAAATTTAAAGTTATCTTTTCTCATCTCATCTCATCTCATTTCATCTCACCTTGTCTCATCTCATCTCATCTCATCTCATCTCATCTCATCTCATCTCGTCTCACTTCATCTCACCTTATCTCATCTCATCTCATCTCATCTCCTCTCGCCTCATCTCATCTCATCTCATCTCATCTCATTACATCACATCACATCTCATCTCATTACATCACATCACATCACATCACATCACATCACATCTCATTTCATTTCATCTCATCTCATCTCATCTCACCTTGTCTCATCTCATCTCATCTCATCTCATCTCGTCTCACTTCATCTCACCTTATCTCATCTCATCTCATCTCATCTCCTCTCGCCTCATCTCATCTCATTACATTACATCACATCTCACCTCATTTCATCACATCACATCACATCACATCACATCTCATTTCATCTCATCTCATCTCATCTCATCTCATCTCAGCTCATCTCATCTCATTTCATTTCATTTCATTTCATCTCATTTCATCTCATTTCATCTCATCTCACTCCATCTCACCTCATCTCATCTCATCTCATCTTATCTCATCTTATTTCATCTCATCTCATCTCATTTCATCTTACCTCATCTCATCTCATCTCCTCTAGTCTCATCTCATCTCACTTCATCTCATCTCATCTCATAGCATTTCATCTCACCTTATCTCATCTCATTTCATCTCATTTCATCTCATCTCACTCCATCTCACCTCGTCTCGTCTCATGTAATCTAATCTCATATCTTCTCATCTTGTCGCATTTCATCTAGTCTCGTCTCATCTCGCTTCGTCACGTCTTATCTAGTCTCGTCTCGTCTTATCTAGTCTCATCTCGTTTCATCTTGTATCGTCTCGTCCATCTCCTCTCCTCTCCTCTCCTCTCGTTCCGTCTTATCTTATCCTACCTTATTCAATATTTATAACCCATGGCCAACCAAGGTGAGAAGGGAGTTACCGAAAATTTTAAGTGACGAACGACAATTAATCCAAGAGTTGATCATTTCTTTGCCTTTGTGACTACAATAAGGTCAACTGCAATCAAACAACCTACTTTGAGAATGAGTTATCATTGGACCAGGCCATAACAGAAAGAGATCTTGCTTACTTTGGAAAACCTGTCGACGAGTCTGGGTAATTGTAGACTTACGTGCTCATGGCTAACTTGTAGTGAATTTCAAATTTCTGTTGCCTTTATATAAGAGGAGCCCTTGACTGTCTTTGTACTAGAGTTACTACAGATATCATTTTTTAAGGTATTTTAGCAGGGAATATAGTTAGCGTAGGCAGAGGGGAGGGAGTGCAGTTATACCGTTCGGTACAAAAGAACGTTTTGAAAAAAGTCTTATCACAATTAAAGAATCTATTTCATTAGTTTAAAAAAACTACTTCAAAAAATAATAAATAGGCTTATAAATGAAAGAGGGTTTGTGTAAAGAGAATTGATAGTGAGAGTAACAAATTGCTTTTTATTAACATCATTTTGATAACTCAGAATCATTTGCAGCAATGTACGAAAACTTTTTTCTTGCGTGTACGATTGCTTGCAAAGTAACTGCTAATTGTATTTATCAAATAGGTGGGCTCTATCACCAATATCCATCAACGCCTACTACGATATGTTGGCCAACAAAATGGGTGAGTTAGAGAAATTTGTTCTATTTGAACATTTAAGCTCACTCATGTCAAAGGACCCTTATGGCTCAGAGATACTGTATTTGTTCCGAAATGGCTTCTGTTTACATTCTGTCGTTTACCAAACGATAATTAACTGTAGATTGAAGCGTATCCGTAGGAGGCGTCACAAAACATTTATTGCCCATCATAACAGGAGGACAATTACCGGTACCAAAGATTTATGCCACGAAACCACACTATCGAATGACTTCTTTCGCTTGTAAAGTATGCTACTTAGCTGGGAATACCTTTGCGATAATAATTTATTTCGATTGGTTTTAGTGTTTCCGGCGGCTATTCTACAATCCCCATTTTACAATAGGAAGTATCCCAGGTAAGTGAGTGAGAAGGACTTAGAGTCATTTTTCAAATGGATGTTAGACTTGTCCCTGGGAGTTTCTAGTAGTCAGTGCTCAATTGTGCGCATGTGTAAAAGAGTGATACAACATTAAAACTGATTTTCAGTGGTCAATCGATCATCATGAGAGGTTAGTAGATACTTTCTCTAAAAGATATACAATCTTTTACAATTGAGTTTTGAGTTTCTCTTGTTATCAAGGTTGATGCTATTCCTTTCACCTCAGTCGTCTGATCACTGATATCATAGGAAAATTCATTACCTCATGGGGAATTCCGCGTTAAATTGCACGCGAAAACCGATATCGCATTCACCGCTTCGTGATTCGAGCGATAATCGGTTTTCAAGTGCAATTAACGCGAAATTCACGAGTCAGGTGATGAATTTTTCTTGAAACCCATAATTGAATAAATATAAGAAAAAAAGAAAACAGTAATAATACTGTTTGTTTTATCCTGGGCGCGCGCGAGAGAGCCATTTCAAAGTCAACTGTCAGAACTGTCATTGCGTTAGCGAATAGGAAGCAAGGTCAGTCGTACAAGTTTGAATCCACGACAACTTTATTTGTACCTTGAGCTTGTTTTTACATTTGCTTTCAAACGTTTTAAACAAGATTCACACAATCTTCGGGATAATGGTGGTATTTCACTGAATTTACAAGCCGTTTATCCTTAACATCTTTTTTCAAATTTTTAAATCATTTGCTCGAGAAGGAAAACAATTTACACCTTTTACCTCTTTGGTGGCAAAACTGAAAGAAATGAAGTGTCCAAACGAAAGCACTGAAAGTTTAGCATCGCGACTAAAGGTATTTTTTCCTTCTTCTGTATATATGACAATCGACTCTGGCACTTCTTCCGTTGTCGCTTCTTCGTCTTGTTTGGTTGAACTTTTGCTCGCCATTTTCTGGGCCGTGTCCACAGGATTTTCTCGCTTTGTCGTTGTCGCGAGCTAAAGAGATTTTTATGCCTCTCAAATAATTTGTAGTTCATTTCAAAACAGGGAACAACCTCTGGCTCACTTTGAAAAACGCTTTTGTTCGTTTTTGGCTCTTCAAAAGGTGACAATGGTTTTGAAAACACTTTAAAATGACATTGCAGAAAACTTTCTTACGATTTGACGATAGTTGTTATGTTTACGTAGGTGCGAAGCAATATCACTTGGCCTCGTTTTCAACCCGCAACTCCACGCTTAATACTTCGCTTCGTTGACCAATCAGAATGCGACATTTTATTCAATTATGCGATTCTAACTCAAATCGATTTGTCCTGCCACTAAATTCAAATAAGGTCAACTTCACTGATTCCCGAGGAAAACAACTTGAAATTAGAACTTGAACTTTCGGAACGCGGTAAATTTTTGTCTAGCCTGAGGCAAGAAAACATCTTTTTGAAGTCATAGAAGTTACACGCTTTCAAACGAGATGTGAAGAAGAAATTGCTACATATAGCAAACTCTTATTAGCTGGTCCCAGGGGAGACAGTAATTTCTTCTTCTCTGCTACTCTCAGTGTTCCCTGAGGGAAAAGCGAGGGGAATATTAAGGATCTTGGGGTAACAAAATCTATTGTTTCCCCTGAGGCCAGTCATTCAGTTCTTCATCGTAAAATTTGACTCTCGACTCTTTCTTATCACGTGATTAATTTACCTTACCTTAGTCGTGAATCCATTGTGTTAACAAGTTCTCAAAGATACTTAAATTAACGTTGATTATTCAGCCAGATCATAGTTAAGGGATATATCAAAACTTGATAAGAAACTTTTACCAGGTCGAATTACTCTCATGTGAATTAGAAAGCATTTTAATCTATACTTCGCTATGAATGTTCTAAGGCTCAATTCGTAAACGTGTTGAAGAAGTAAGGTCATTTTGACACAGAAAAATTCTCTCGGAATAGTTGGTTACCATACATCTATAAGTATAATTTTTATAAGGGTAGCACCGCTTTCCGTCTCGACAGGGCTGTGTTGTACGGAGGGGTTGGCGCCATAATGGGACACGAACTAACTCACGGATTCGACGTGGACGGTAAGTTCGTGCCGCTCTTCACGCCGTAGAAAACTAGCTGTCTTTCCAAGCAAACGAAATATGTCCTTAACTGTGCGCATACTTGTAACTTGCAATAATTTTGAGTTTTGTTCTATGATCACAGGGAGGCGGTTTGATATGAAAGGAGATGAACGGAACTGGTGGAGTGAAGAAACTCTTAAATCGTTCAAAAGAAAAACCGAATGTCTGAAGGATCAATACTCTAATTTTACATTCGATGGAGGCACGGTAGGTTTTAACTGATTTTCCTTTTTGTATTTCGTGCCGCGGTTTACCGTGCTCAGGAATCACTCCTAAAACTGAAATATCATTTTACACCTCAGATTGATGGCGAGAAAACTTTGTCAGAAAACATAGCCGATAATGGAGGAGTCAAACAGGCCTTCAGGGTAACTTCTGAACCTTCAATTCCAATCCGCAACAGAGAAATTACTTTCAATAGACTTCCTTTCCAACAAACTATTTTTTCCCTATTTTGTAAAAAAATATATTTGACTAAAATCATAGTAAACCTTATAAAGAGCGTCGTCGACTATTGGGTCTGACAAGGAGCTAACGCTAACTGTGGCCAATTTACTAAATTGCCCTAATGAATTAAACTACGGTTTTCTTCATTTCTTTAGGCTTATCAGAACTGGATTGCGCGGAACGGCAACGAACCTCAGCTGCCTGGAATGAACCTCACAAATGATCAGGTGTTCTTTATAAGCTTTGCAAGAGTAAGTAAATGATTTTTAAGACTTGTCAACATTTTGTCAATTAGGAAGATAGCTTTATATGATCAGCCGAATTATCGGTATATGCGCATTATGATTGGTCATTGCTGATTATCTATTGAAGAAGAGACGCCTAGATGACGTAGCCATTGACAACCTAGATCCATGTTGCCGTGTGTCTTTTCAGTAGTAGATCACAGATGATTTCAAAATCTGGTAAGAACAAAAAAGTGGCACACGAGGCTCAATCAAGTGTGTCACTGATGTGACACACTTCAATGGGGTACACGGCTATCTTCGGTCTTTATTTATTGGTTGTATGCTCTCTACTAAGAAAAAAAAGTGCTGTCTCGGAAACATCTACACCTACCTGTGGTATGGCAAGACGAGTGTGAAGGCCATTGACTGGATTGTATTGAGTTGATCCACACGTTTGACAGCTGGCTCAACCTATGTTTTTTCAGACAACCAACTCAATAATTATATTTCTGTGTGGAATACAAAACAAAAATCCTTGATTTTTCATTGTTTGCCAGAGTTGGTGTTCAGTTTTTTCAAGTAGAGGGGAGGAATTTGCTTTATCAAGTGAACACAGCCCAGCCCCTTGGAGGTAACGTTCCTTTCTACTAATATCCACTTCAAGCTTTTTTCTGTAGAATAGATGTGTACTTTTCTATCAAAGATATCTCGTATCTCTTCGAAAGCGCTCGTATCGGCGAAGCGTACCTCATTTATCGTTCTTGCATGAAATGTTAAAATTTTTCCTTTTTTGGAAACAAATCGCGTCTGCATTTACCCTGCCCTCTAACGCCTAAATTCTTCTTAAACTTTTATCTAACTCGTATATTTTTACTAAAGTGGAACCGATTTATCGATTAATAGTTGGACTGGTAAATTCATGTTGTTTTACTGTGGATTTGTTTTACACGAATCCACGATAAAGCGCCATTTTAGGTTAACAATCATTGTTATCCTTTCATTGGGGTACAGTTGATATCTATAGGTGACTTTTATCTTTACCTGGATCGTTTCTTGAAAATTGAAAATCAACGAGGGGAACCTCTAATCGCGTGATTATTGTTGTCGTCTTAATATCTGTGTTGGTTTTATGGTTAAGCTGCTAGATTGTGATCGTTACATCTAGGATATCGTGTTGCACATCAAGTCATACTAACCCCATACGGACACAGGAAGCTATCGAGACTCAGCTGGTCATAACATCATGCAGTTTTGCATAACAATTGTTTGCATAACGATTGTTAGCAAACCTTGCGGCACATCTTTGAACTCGCTGTATTTTCACTTCAAGTCATTTCGGTAGTGGATATACTACAGTGTCATCGTAATCAAGTTTCAATAGTACTAATGCCTTAAAAATTTCATAACATTTTTATGTGACATAAGCCGGGCTGAGGAAGTTGACAAGCGCAAGAACGAAAATATTGTTACAACTTGTATCAATATAGTTCGAGGTTCCAACGTTAGATGTATTTGAATTTATCTTCTCTGAGCGCTCACTCTCTCTCTTATAAATCTTAAGACAATTATACTCTTTTTGATTGTTCCTCACTGTTTATCGTAGGGCAAAGGCATCAGTGATGAACTTCTCGGAGTTTGCAAAAGCATTCAATTGCCTACCAGGGAGCCCAATGAACCCAGTCAACAAGTGCTCGGTCTGGTAACGATAACAAGCCTAGTATCTAAATCCGCTGTAAAATTCATGTAATGAAGGGAATGTGATTCAAAGTGTCAAAGAGATGCAGCTTAATTGGTTCAAACAAACTTTTTTTTTTTCATAACGATCAATCTTTGAGTAGCTCGAGACGAAATTTGGCTAATAAGCTACCATAACGGCAAAGCCTAAGAAATTATGAACGAAACTAGCACTGTTAAATTAATTGTGTTCGCTGTCTGTGACTGATAGCAGCGTGGGGCTAGTGTATGTGGGGAGCTGCTTCCAAGAGGTCATTATTTTTATTGTGGCATTCCAAGAAAGCAGCTGCATGTTACTACCTGTGAGAGTTTTTAGATTTTTACTAGACATAGGCACTGCCCAATGGTACAAGGCATTTGCTTTTTTTCTATCTAGTGCCGTCATTTAGCGGTGGTCACACACTTGAATGAATGCTGCTCATAAAGGGGCTAGCTACCTACTAAATACACTAAATATATTTACACCTTGCTTTTTCAGCGCAGAGAGGTGCTAGGAAAAACTTTTAGGTTTTCAAACACAAGGACCTTGTTGTCCTTGCAGAAATGAGAATGTGCATCTGCGTCGAGAACTCTTTAGTCTATTTGGTATTTCTTTGCACATCAAAATAATGATCTTACTTGTTTTTTATTTTTGTCTCGCTGCTGCTTTAATGTTATAGGTCCTTTTATCACCATTGCAACGATGAAATCCTCAAGAGAATTAATTCTAAGAACAAAGGGAACAAAGCATTTGGAAAATAAGTAGTAATAAAGTTGGCATATTGTGTTTGTTCACAGCGATTCAGCCTCTCGTAATGATATTACGTTTGTGGTCTTTCATCTGTCTGTTTTCTAACTGATGCTATCAATTATTCTGTTTGACGTGGTGTTGATTACAGAAATTTCGTTGGCCTCAAGAACATTTGGAGGTGAAGCAGTGATATCAAAGCATAGCTTAGCACCATCCACAAGCCATTACTGTATTCCCTATCAGCACCATCCACAAGCCATTACTGTATTCCCTATCAGTACTTAGAAAAGAAATCAAATTTATCTTTAAAGAATTCTTCAATAAACAATGAAATAAATTATTCAAAGCATTTCTATTTGGTGTTTTTTTTTTAAAGAAAAACGTCATTATATTGCTAATTAAGGTACTCGAAAGACTAGATCAAATATTTATTCTTTCCTCTGGTGAATAGACGATATTTTCACCAAGATCGTTTTTGATATAAGGTGCACCTGAGGAAAATATGAGGAGTAGGGGAAACTTTCAGGTGAACTTCATCTTAATCTTGTCATTTTCACCGTAATTATCATGGGTGTACATTTTTTTTCAGCGTTCATTAAAATTTCTCAAAACAAAACTAAATCAGCGGATAAAAAAAAAAGGTTACACTGGTTTCGTGAGAGTTTACCTCAATGTTATTTGAACGTTCCGATCTACTCAATCCGTTAAGAAGTAAAGGAAATGCTAAAAAATATCGAGAATTTTCCACCTGGCAACCTTTACCTTTACCTTTACCTTAAGTTGCTATCGAAATCCTTAAATATTAGATTCCATTCATAAGATTTGTTTTAAGAGAGAAGTGAAACACTCTATTCCAGGTGACATGGCTTGTTTTATTCACTGTTGTTTACTTGTCCTGTGACTCCAAGGAGCAAGAAACGTTGACAGTGTTTCCTTCTCCTTCAATTTACCTTACCAACACTTCAAATGGATCTGTTTTCCTTGGAAACATAACAATTCCAGCAGGTGAGCACACGTTATATTCACGCCTCAATAGTGTTTTACAAAGATTGGTCTTTGATTCAGCGATTTGAAACATTTGAATTCCTGTAAGAAGACATGATTCATCAGCTCAGTTCAGTAATAGTAGTTTGCTTCTAGATAATATATATATATAAAAGAAACGACAATGGTCTTACTTGAAGCAAAAAAGGGGGTTCAGGACACTGATACTAAAAAAGATCATAAGCAATGAGCTGAAGATGAAGGAATTCCAATTGTTTTCTTGTAGAGAACGTGACAATGAATGCAAGTGTTAGTATTAATCCAAACCGATCCAGTGCGGCAGTAATGAACACGAGCGCTTCCATAATCAGTAAGATAACGGGAACCACAAAGACCGAAAACAGTAAGTGTATGTTTTGCCAGTCCGAGATAAATACAACAATGACGGGCGAAATAACAATTCCAAGCTAAAGGGAAACGCTGAGATTCGAGGGGAACAAAATAAGCTGTTTCCAGGGAAATTGTGCAGTCGTTAAGTGATATCAGAATCTCGCTCGAAAATACTACTTACATTGATTTTGGGGGAGAAGCATGGATCAAAAATCACTTGAAAAATTATTCTTAGTTTTACTTGAATGGTTCCGCTTTCGGTGATTGTTCAATACAGGTGGAGGAAAATAAGAACAGGCCGTTGGGACTTAGTAAAGGGTGACTGCAACCGGTTAATAAAGGTGACCGCTTATAACAGTGGTTAAGAGGAAACAAATTCAGAATTTTGGCGACTGACAGCTTAATATGGGGTGGCCGCCTAACACAGTGCTTAATACAGCTCTTGACTATAGTGAACTCCCTATTGTGGTGTTAAAATGTTTCATTTGATGACATGTGAAAGAGTCGCTTTGACACTCAAGCGATTTCCGTTTATAAATTGTCAAGCAACTTAACAATTCTAATAAGTGCATCTCATGGCGATTCATAGATGTCTTGTTTCGTGTTTATTAGAATGGCTGTATTTTTTTGGATGAAATCTGTTATAAAAACTACGATGTGCTTTGAAATAAACTTTATGATTGTCATAGAAGTAACGACGAGGGCAAATTTACAGCGTTTTCTCAAACAAGGAAGATTTATTAGTGACTCTTTAGCTCATGGTTTCGTTTCCTTTTAATTTTTGAAGATACCTTCTTTGTGGAGTTCAAAACAGGAGCGTTGGAATGGAGTCCCGATCTTACCAAGGAAAATCACAATAACTTCATCAACAGTGCCAATGAAATTGTTCAAATAGTTAGTAAAGATTTAATTAGTAACAAAACAAGTACATTTTGCACTAAAAAAAGATTTATCTTCTCCTGTCTGCGCTCTTATGGTGTGTCCCTGTTCAATGAAAAGTGAAATATTACTAATTTGTGTAACGTTAGTGTAGTACCTTGCATTGTCAATATTTGTCAAGAAAAACTGACAACGGTCTGCGGTCACTATGTGTCCTCTAGCATTGTTCATATCCTAGCCTCAATGCTCTGAAAATCTGGGTTTAAATCTAGATTTGCAGAGACAAGCTACGTAATAACAGCACCCCGATCTTTGTATTTAATAATTTATACGCAAAGCCTCTGATGCCTTTTCACGAACTCACGTATAATTTTTATTTTTAACAACAGCTAAAACATAAGATTTCGCAAACTACATTAGGTCCATGTAGATATTTATAGCTTATGCAACTAACACCTTTTCTATCACAGATTGACAGCATATATAAGAATGCAAACATGTCGTCTAGTTTCGATGGCAGCCGCGTTATTGGCTTCAGGTCTGTAGCTCACTGTTCTCATGTAGTGTTATTTTGTAGTATTATATGTACTCTATTCATGCACCTCCTAAAGCTTCTGTCACATTGTAAAAAAAAAAAAACATTTTCTTTCTCTCCAGGGAAGGCGGGTATGTATCGGTAAAGCTACAGTTCAATGAAGGTGACATTAACAACCTGGATGTCATTATTCAATTCTTACGAGAAGGAGGAGGGGACTTGTTGACGGACAAAGTTTATCTTAAGCTTGGAAAAATTGGTAGGTGAATTGACTTAATATCCAGTGCTAAAATGGTAGCACAAAATCGAGAATGAAAAATGCAATTGTTTAACCTCTACTTATATCTACCAATGACAGCTTATTCACCAGTTGAAATAGTTTCAAGTTTATTGCTTGGACTACCTGAGACCAAGCAGTCTACAACAATGACCTACTTTTACCAGAAAACAAGGGGAAAAACTAGTTGGTATTTATTAGTACATACATACATAAGTATATACATAAATAAACTTTATCTAGTCTTAAACCAAAATACTAGTATCTCTGAGCTAACTGCATTAATAATTATAATAACGAGTTAATTCCATACAACAAGAAAAATAACTGACTACCTAAACAATTAACTTGCCAAATTGACTTAGCGTACTTGTACTGAAATATAAGATTAAAATCCACTCATTATTCGATTCAACAAAACAGTAGCATGCAATAATTGTAAAATTCTAGTCAAATTAATAACTTTTCGTCGTAATCTGAATCGATAATATAAAAATAGTTTTATAGACTTATAAAGTGGTAAATCTTCCAGCTTCCTTTTTTGAGTTATGATTTTAGAAGTTTTAGAATGTGTTTAAGTCGAACAATCAACTCTCTATTTAAGAAGCTTTGAAGAAACTATTTTATTTATCTCAGTTGGTAAATTTTATATAACGTACTTTGTTCGATCTATAGCCGACTGTATCACATCCTATGTGGACACCTCATTATGTGACTGCTTGTCCATGAGTTACAAGCGTCGATTGACATGTCGTCAGCCAGAGATACATGGCGGTGAGGACTGCCCTGAGCGATGCTATACTGGCCACCTGATCGCCGGCTACAAGTCTTGTACTTGGGACGATTTAGACGCGTTTAAATGTGCTGCCAGTAAAACAAAGGCCACTTATATTATTATGTCGTTCGTATTACCGCTTTATTCGGTAACTTTTGTCAACTGATATAATGAACTTGGAAATTAGTGTTAAGACCGATGGATGATGTTGACGCCGTAGTAAAGAAAAACAGACTTAAGAGGAAAGCCTCTAAACATTCTTTTACAACACGATGGGCCAAACGGGCGTATCTCGAATGTTGATTTAAATTTGATCTCAAATAGTATTTCGTGGCGAGGATTTTGCCAAAACGATATAGAATGAAAACTATAATCATGACTGTTAAATTTCACAGAGGCAATTTGCCACATACGGCATTTACTTCACCAAGTTTCGTTTTGTCAGTGAACACCGGTTTTAGTTTTCTCGATAATGGCGAATGCTCTCCAGAATTGGTAATTCAAACAATATTGGTTTGCTTTGAAGTTCCTGTTTGGTACTATTGACGTCCTTGAAATACAAAGGACGTTCATATCGCGAGCTCTCGTCGAATATAAAGCGTTACGAGTGAGTGAAATATCGGCTGTGAATAAAACCAATAACAGAAATCTGTTGTGTGTCTGTCTGGGGTCGACGAAGACCATCTAGTCGCTCCACAATTACACTGGTTCTATTGGTACGCAGCTATCCTACGCAGCTACCCTCTTGAGGAGAGTCAGATGCTATTTGCTGTTGTCGCAAGCTGTGAACTCCCACATGTGAAAATTGAAGTCAAAGGTTCTCAGAGATGCCTTTAAAGTGTCCTTTTAGTGTTTCTTTTGACCTCCCTGGGAGCGCTTGCCCTGCAGTAGCTCGCCATAGAACTTAAATGATGTACTAGAGACTGCTACGACCAGGTCCTGATAACTTAAAACAGCCTCTGACGCTCAAATCCTAAGACAGCAGGTCAAAGAGTGGGCCTCAGTGAAACATGAACAGATGAAGAATCTTCAAGTTGAAGTAAATCGGTAAAAAAGATCCAGAACCCTGTGCAGTGGATTTGCAAAGCATGAACACGCAAAGGATGTTTAGGGATCTGATTGGTTGAATAAAACTAAAGCTGTCAAAAATGTCAAACCATCTAAGTTCACAATATGCAATAGTTGACAAACTGAAATGGTTCAGCTGCTCATAAAAACACGCGAGTTTTTTAACATGACAACTAACAACACACTGCTCCAGGCTTGTGTTTTATGAATAAACGACAGCCGAATTCTCAGGAACATAACGATTGCTCGGGATGGCAGCACCGTAAATCTCGGCTGCTCTGACTGATGCGGCCTTCCACTCAACGCATCGGAAAGGATATAAGAACGAGTTCTTTTTTGTTCACGTGAAGGATAGCCGATGTAATTTCTGAAGCTTGCTTCACTGCGATGACCAGAGATCGCCATGATGAGCTCGACGCGACAGACTTCAGCTTGATCGCAGTTGCTCTGACACCATCATGATTAGTATAAATTGGTATTAATTACATTTATGCCAGTTTCGTTGTATTTTTTTTTGTCATTCTAGTTTTTTGTTTGTTTTGTTTTTGAACACGGAATTATATATAAGAGTGCTAGCTACGAGTGTTAGTTGTGAAGGTGAGCATGCAATCTAAATGAACGTGAAAACCTTTAAACTCGGACTGTTTTCTCTTTGAGGATTTATGTCCCTGCTCACGTGATAATAACGTGAATTACGGCGCTTGGCAAGTTTACGAACCTTTGTTTGGTTCTTCAATTGCTATTTGCCGGCTCACCTGTTCAGAAATTTCACTTTCAATTAACGAAAAATAGCTAGAGAGAAGTCCAGGAAATGGTCGAACGTAGTACAATTTGGCAGATGGCGTGACAGTTTTAGCTCAGCTCTGACGAAGGGCTAACGCTCAAACCGTCAGCTTTTAAACTCTCTACGGTGGCCAATTTGCGTTATCAACTCAGTTCATAATATTAAATTACTCTTTTATACTGTTTTATGCTTTGAGAGGGCACCCTCTTTCAACCAATGACAGCGTACGTTATATCCTAACTTCAATGTAATATGATAAGTCTTGCCCTTATATTTAGAATGTACTCACTATATAAATGCAAATTGGGGAGCTTGTAAGGTTTGAGCTATAGTGATGAAATTTTGAATTGTGACTGTCTGGTATAACTTCCAAATGAATGAAGGTTTGTCCACTGTCCTTGCTTTGGACCCACGCGAGACTTCTTGTTTTGGCTAACGCAGTCAGAGGTTGATTCAGTTGATCGGAACCATTATGACTAAGGACTTTGTTGTTCATTTCGAAAGTCTAGTGGAATTTTTTGGCTTAGTGCTTTAACAACAAGTGTGTAATCTCCCAAGGTCAGCCAGCTGGCATGCTCATCCATATCTATCAGTAGTGAATATACAAACATGTTCTTTGGGGCTCACTTAATGTTGTAGAGAGTAGAGCAGACTAGAAGAATGTAGACAGTGTGCTGAAGAGTAGGGATAGAATTCCGTAGTTGAAGGGAGCGTTTAGCAGAACACGTCAGTGAGAATTAACCAGTGAGAATCAAGGCGTAATAGATTAACCAGAGTTACACAGAGTGAGGAGAAATCGAATGAAAGAAAAATTGTGCACAGTATAACCTAGTAATGAAATAAAGCAAGAAAAAGACAGTTCGACAATCTTGCAGCCTTTCGCCGAGCATGATGTCCTCGATGGCTAGTTCCCCCTCATGCCTGATGAGCCCAAGATTGGTGATCCGACATTGACTTGAGCACCAAGAGTGCATTATACGAATAACTCAATCGACTTATTCAGTCTCGCCTTACCAGCCTGATTCAAGCCTTCTGATTTGTCTGCCATGAAGAAGTCAAATTGGTTTTCAAATTTTTATTGTCATTCCTTATGATGTAAATCAGATTGCCTTTAATGGCTTTTCCACCCTCATCGCTGAACTTTTCTCTTTCTAGATATGAGATTGAAGTCACTGGGGGACCAAGATTTGTAACATAAATGAAAACAGATCCGAGACCGTGCTCCCTCTTTGAAGCAGAAGTCTGTGCGAGTTGTGATACTCTAAATTCTGTACACAACCTTTTGAACGATGTCATAGTTATTACCTATTTGGCTGAACGTTGGGTCGCCTGAGAGAGTGGATTCGCTCTGGATTCCTCCTGTCTCAAAAAGAATAGTTCTGACGGCGAAGTATTTACGAAACATCAGAAACGACTTGATCTGTTCTGGAACCTTATCGAGCACCTCACGAGAGATTCCACAGCCTGTAGTAGCGCACCATACGGCAAAGTTGAGCCACTGAGGTCAATAGCCAATATTTTGTCCCGAAAGCTATCTCTTTGATTCTGCACCTGACGTGTGCTGAGTTTTCATTTTTGTGAATATTCCTCTGAATTTTGCATTGAAGTTACAAAGATGTGGTAACAAAGGTCTCGATCTCCTTAATTAAGCGACTCATTGCATTCTCATGAAATAGTACCGCTGGCACCTCCCTCACTCCTTTTAGAGTGAGCTCGATAGGACACCCTCCTATTCCAAGAGCTTTCTTCACATCATCATCCCAAAAATTTTCTGATCCTGAGAGGCTCGACTCAAGGAAACCTCAGCTGTCGCTTGATGAAACCCTTGTGTAATGCCTAACCGTGTGCCTTCAATATGCTGCAATACGCTCGGCACCCGTCTGCGCACTGGCGCAATACGCCTGCGCATTATCTTCTCCCTCACCCTTCCATTACGTAATGGCTACGATAATGCCCGCGGCTTGATGGGTTATTACTATTTCTTATAAATATAGGGCTACGCTGCGCGCTACGAGCTTCGCATTAAATCATGTTTATAAACTATCTGTGAGTGGCACATCTAAAAACTCTGAATACACTTAGGCATAATACACCTAGAACAAGCGCAAGTTTATAGAAATATTTAAAAAAAAAATTCACAAAAAACGTAGCTTGGGGCGCTTAGGATGCGAGAAGTAAATTAATGTGCTAACGGCCATTTCCTACTCATCATGGACTGTTTGATATAATTAAAATGTTTGCGTGTTTAAGATCAGATAAAGCAAAAAGAATTGCTGATAAAGCAAAAAAAGAGAAAGGCCTTGGATGACTTCAGAGCACAATATCCGAATGCAGACCTGAGTCGGAGGAAATTGTTATAATTTAAGTTCGTGGAGATAGGGTTTTGATATAAAAAAAAAATAAGCTAGAAACAAAGGGAGGGAGCGACCAAAGAAAGCAAGAAGTGAAAGGCGTAAAGTGAGTCGAGAAAAACGCGAAAGAATATTAGAAAGGACGCTAAAATTGGCAAAATACGACGGGAGGAACGTGAAAGAGAACTAGAAAAGGCATAAGTAAAAAGGCGGTTACCTAGCAAAGAGCAACGCGAGAAGGAAGTACAAAGACGCTCCAGAAAACAGACTGAAAAGAGGTCATCAACAAAGAGAAAGCGAACTGCAAAGGATCCGAGAAAGAAGAGAAGAAGAGGAGGTAAGCTTAAGGCCCAGAGGAATTCGACCTTTTTCTTACCAATCGCCGTTTGATACCAGCTTCAGTTTATACATACTTCAAATCACGTTCCGGTATAACAATAACTTTGGCATTCATCGCTTAAAAGCCCTCGAACTGGTTCCTCGCATTTCAAAGTGTTCGTATTCTTCTTTTCCTATCGTTTGGAATGTTAAATACAGTCGTGGTGATAAGGGAAAAGAAGTTATCTTACGGATTTTGTTTTGCTAGCAAGTTTTCAAATGATAGCGAACGGCGTGGGCAAGTTTCCACTTTCTTTCTCTCTCCTTTCCCAAAATTGAAATAAAATGAAATTGAATTAGCGATGTTCATGTTTACATTAAGTCTGACGGGGTAATTTTGACAATAGTGTCATGTGAGACCCCGTCAAGCATCTGAGAACTAAATTACGGGTCACAATCGTGTGGTGTAAACAAACTGACGGGTAAAATGGAGTTGGTCCTACTGTGGGAGGAGTGAATTCTATTGTTTGGTCATGGTACTTTTCAGCGCCATGTTTTCATGCTTTCTACTTGATTCGTTCGAACTTCACGAAATGGTTTGTCTCACAAAAAGCGGAACTACTCTCTCTTCGCTCAACATCTCGGACGTACTTAATGCTGGAGACTGAAGGATCAATCTCTAAAATTGATAGTCATCACATTTTGCAAGAAGCGTCCGAGCTCAGTGATCGTGTAATTAGACGGGGTTCTGGCAATTTGAGCTCACAAGTACGTTCGTAAGCACATGGTTATCGTAGATAATTGTTGTTTACAGTTTTCGAATTCAAGAGCAGTCTTTGAGAGCCCGTTTCTGTAACCTTCTGGGATATTTTCTGTTGAATTCATACAGGCACAATCTCAGAATTTCATTAGTGATTGTGAACAATAAATTCATAGCGGCACAATAATTTCAGGAAGTTTTGTTTACGCATTACGTAAATAATAAAACATGGAACGACCTAAAATCACCTAAAACCACCTA